CAGAGCTGTGCAGCTACATGCAGCAATGAAAAGCTCTGCCATGGGGGAAGTAGAAAGGAAAGGGGCTGGGGGTGGGGAGATCCTGGAGTCTTTCCCCATTGCCTCTCTGCCGGTGCCTTTCCCCACTGCTAAAGCCTTTCATTGTGGCGGGGAAAGGCTGCAGCAGCATAAGCTCATAAGCTCAGGAAGCTCCCTTTGGCCGAAGGCTCTGTATACAGAGCTCTCGTAGGAACACTCTGGGTACTAAAAGGGGAGGGATGCCTGTGACAGGGCTGGGTTTTGAAAGCTTTCATTTAGCAGCTACAATATTTTAAAAAATCTAACTTTCAAAGAACTGTTCTTCAAAACAGCTGTCCTGTCCCCTTAGACACACAACTCCCACTAACACGAAAAGATCCAGGAGCACAGATTGATGGATGGATTGCTCCTAACAGCTAAAGTTTGCCTGGATGGACAGCCTATGCCAGCGTTTCCCAAACTGTGGTCCGCGGCCCAGTACCAGTCCTTAGGAAACAAAATACCGGGCCTCAGAAAAGTTCTTGTGAGAGCCTGCTTCACTGCCCGCAACCCCCAAGATGAACGCCGCGCTGAACTCCCAGTGTCAACGGCGGTAGTGCGGGCTTCCTGCGGGGTTGGGAGGCAGTTCTGCAGCTGTGCGCCAGGTCTCGGAAGTGCGTGGATGCTCTCTCCCCTCCCCCAACAGCCGGTGCGGTACCTAAAACCCCGATCCATCGCGCACTGGGGACTTTGTTTCCATGCTGCCTTCCTGTGTGCAGAGGAGTGGGTAGGGATCCGGGACTGCACTGGCTCCAGCTGCTCGGGCGGCGCGTGCTGCCATGGGAAGCGGAGGAGCAAGGCACGTGCTGCCTGAGCGATTGGGGCAGACGCAGTCCGGGACTCCCCTTCTCTCCTCCCCCCACACGGGAAGGCAGCAGGGGAATAAAGTCCCCAGCGTGCCAGCTCCAGCTGCTCGGGCAATGCGTGCTGCTGCTGTGGGAAGCAGAGGAGCAAGGTACGTGCTGCCTGAGCAGTTGGGACTGGCGCAGCCCGGGACTCCCCCTCCCCCTGCGCAGAAAGGCATCAGGCGTACAATGGACCAGCACATCAGGTACCGCGCTGCTGTTTGGAGGATGGAGGAGCAGCCCGTGCACTTCCTGGGCCTTGGGAGCTACAGGATCCCCGGGTATCAGTTCCTGTCTCCTCCCCCCCAGACCTCCACAAGTACCCTGCCCCAGCACCCACAAGCACCCTGTCCCTTGCTCCAGCACCCTGTCCCCAGCCCCAGCACACATTGGTTTGGAGGGGCTGTGTTTTTGTATCTCACTTGTGTAGCCCCGACTGATTTTTCTGTGGGCTAAAGTTGGCACTGGGGGCTTTGGGAGGACCAGAAACAATGTATTTGCATATTCATCATTTGCTTAATGAAGATTCAAATGTGCAAATAAATATTACCGGTCCTCCAAAAGCTCGTGAATGGATTTTCTGGTTCCCAGTATCAAAAACTTTGGCAACCCCTGGCCTATGCAATCCTACCACTCACTGTATGGGAATTCCTGCTTAAGAGTTCTACGTGCTGTTGCACACAGGATCCAATAATAAATATGACCGTGTATATTTTTGTATTACAAAAAAACCCGCTCTGGGCTTGCATTTCCATTTCCAATTGTCCCAGCATTTCATTCAAAGAGGTTTGTTTAATAAGTATACTACTCCCAGGGCATGGGATAAGTCCTTTTCAAAAAGAGTGATTTATGGATATACAGGCAGTCCCCGACTTACGTGGATCCGACTTATGTCGGATCCGCACTTACGAACGGAGCTTTCTCGCCCCGGAAGTCGGGGCGAGAAAGCCCCATTCATAAGCTGCTCCGGTGCCCCTGGTCTGCTGGAGACCGTCTCCAGCAGACCAGGGGCACCGGGCGGGTTCCCGCGCTTCTGAGGCTTTGCCAGAGCAAAGCC